TTGGGAAGACACACTGAGGAGATCAACGCACACGCCGAATATATCACTTGTTTCCCAGACATGTCAGCGCATTTAGTTACAGCAGGTTAAGGAAGCATGTGTTGTCTGTATCTAAACGCCCACCTAATGAGTCGCCTTGAAACTAATTACATTTCCGTGTTTTTTTCTCCTAGTACCAACCGGAGCTTGCTCCCAGACAATCAGCCTGAAATGACCGAGCAAGCTTCATCAAGTAGAACAAATCCTGTTCATCATACTCAGCAGCAAAAACTGACAAAAACTGAAAAACTCGTAGAGCGAGAACGAAGAAGACAGGAGATAGCAAAGCAACGACTGGATTTGAAAAATCATCGCGATATCGCTAGATCCGTGGAGGCTCTTGACTTATACGTGCAGGTCGGAAATCGTAAAATTTCCGAGGCAGACCTGAGAAGCCACTTTGCTTCCTTTGGAGAGGTGGTTCACGTGTATGTAGTGATGAATTACTCAACCAACAAACCCACCGGAAATGCCTATATTGCAATATGGCCGACAAGGGAACCAAACCGGATTCGCAACATGAAACACGTTGTGAATGGAGTTAGAATTTATGTGAAAAAGTGCGCCTTCTTGTGGGATTTAGGAAACAAACCAGTCAGGTGAGATTAAGAGAGGCTCGATTTCTTCGTCTGTAGAAATATTAGGAAGATGCTCAGATTTGTAGTCATTGTATTTTTGTCTCCTTTGCAAGGCTTTTAGACGCACAGGAGGTAATAACAAGCATAGTGTGAGATTGGGACTACTGATATTGCAACAGAAATTCAGTCTTGAGATCATAAGGTTACCATCATAACCGTAACCACTTATTTAAAACAACAGTGACCTTATAGTTGATGAGAACACCTGGCTCTCGATAAATAGCAGATACTACCTTATTTATAGGTAGGTGGCGCGAAAAGGTAAATACGCATTGAGGACTCGAAAAACAAAGCTGAAGGAGCCGTGGAGTAAATACAAGCAATTTAAAAAATCGCTCTCATTTTAAACGTCATCATAAGTTTAGAACAAAAGCAGCTGGAGCCACCACAGCAACCGTTGCTACGGCAAGAGGATGGTAAAACTCCGACCGCTGTTAGCAGCCCACGAGAGCTTTTTTTAGCTTATTCGTGGATGACCTGAAAGACGTCATCACTGCCGATATATTGAGAGCCTACTTTGCACGCTTCGGTGAAGTACTGGCTGTGGAATTGTCTAGGAAACCCCTGACAGACGAGCTCGGTAGGTGTGCCTACATTTCACCGCTGCTGACCGGAAACCGTAGCCAAATCCTCCATACGGATGGTATTCAGTTGTTATGGCAGAAAACACGTCAACAGAGTGAGTTTTCAAGAGGTTAGGTTGGATTTCTTTGTAATGTGTTTCAGTCTGTGTTCACGCTCCAAAATATGAAGGACTTAGCAGCCAAATCAAAAACAGCTGGCTGTCAGTGAATCAGCGAACCTTCTAACATTTTTGATGCTGGCCTCATATTGTTTCCTCAACATTAACTCTCCACGGCCAAACTATTGTAGGGAGGTTTTTAAATTCCATTGTTGTTGCTTTATTTACTCCTAGGAAGTCGTT